GTTTTTTTTTTGTATGTGTGTGTGTGGTGGGGGGGGGACCAATTCTAGTTGGGGTATCGAAAGGCTTAGTTGTAAATTGATTTTTATATCGAAACTGAAATATCCTGGACTAATTGTTTGTTTTTGAATTTCGCGAAAAACTACACAAGGGTTATCTGCGCTAGCCTTCCCTAATTTAGCAGTGAAAGACTAGAGGGAAGGCAGTTAGTCATCACCACCCACCGCCAACTCCTGGGCTACACTTTTACCAACGAATAGTGGGATTGAGTGTAACATTATAACGCTTCCACTTCTGAAAGGGTGAGCAGATTGCGAGTCGAGCGACCTAACCACTAGGCCATGCCAGACTCTCTAAATATGGAAAGTTATGCTTCACAAATAGATTCAACACAAAATGCAGAAGTGTTGATGTCTTACGAAGAAAGTCTGAGCATGACTTAATGGTTAGCATGCCTAGACTGTGAATCCTTGGATTCATGCTTCGAGCCCTGTTACCACAAAAGCTTGTTCCGCATTTTGTGACCGTGGGTGTGCTCCAAATCAGCAAAGAGTATTTGTAAGAGTTGACTAGCTCGCATCTTCTTTATCGGGACCTGGGAGGGTCAGGTATGATATTCCATCTCTTCCTTCCCCCAACACTGGTGTTTTGTTGCACTATTTAAATGTTGAACGTCATATAAATGATGGTGTTGTTACCACTTAATGTCATGATTACAATACCCCTATCAGAGTCATGTCCATTTATGTTCAGTGTTCATCATTTGCACTGGTGTATACTTTGCTTCATTTGTTATGCTGGTCTAACCTGTCACAAACACTCCCATATAATCCAGTGCTGATTCATTTTGTAACATATCTTAGATGTATTTACATATATAACCCTTTCTCATACATAATATATATACTACATAAATGGTATATTAGGTAAGTCTAGCAGTAGGTGTTGACTAGCTGTCTTCCCCTAGTGTCAGTTAAAAAGTAGGGACGGCTATGCGCAGAAAGTCTTTTTGTGTAGTTTCGTGCGAAGATTATAAAACAGACAAAACAAAAGTTTATGGCGAAACTTTTTTCACGTTATTTACCGTATCTCGGTGCTCGTTTTAGATATTATAAGCTACTGTAATATTAATGTTCGCCCCCCCTCCCCAGTGGCACAGCGGCATGTCTGCGGACTTACAACGCTAGAAACCGGGTTTCGATACCCGTGGTGGGCAGAGCACAGATAGCCCTTGTGTAGCTTTGTGCATAATTAAAAACAAACAAACAATATTAATGTTTTTTTCTCAACACTTGCTGCACCCCATACAGCAAGGATTTCGAGGTTAGAGAGAGCAACAGTGGCCAGTGCTACTAATTAGATTATCAACGATTTTTGAAAAGTATTTGTATTTCATATTTTTGAGATATTCACTTTTCACCCGTGAGAAAGAAAGCAAGGACGATGAATTTTTTTAAATATTTGTGTTGTTTGACCCATTGTTTTGAGTAATCTCTTTTTTTTTCTCTGAAATTGTATTAAGCACTTCAAATTTATTATCTTAAAAAAAACAACATCGGCAGAGAAATTACTTGAATACATATATTTCTTTCATTATAATTGCGTTTTTCGTAGGCTTATGGCATTACTCCAAAACTACACAATTTTTAACACCATATACGAGCACATTTAATAGTTTCATATCTTTATGAACAGGCCAAACAGGCATGAAGTAAAACTTAGTTTAACGTTCTTATATCCTTCTTCGTAACCCTGAGAAGAACCTTTAAAAACCGAAAAACTATTAAATATTCAATAGATACCAACATGGATCTGCGGTTTAAATGCTTGTTAAATGCCAATTCACAAAGCTGAGCTTATTTTGGTTTTAATTACTTAGTTCTAATTTGAAATCTAAATTGTCTTTGTATGCCTAATAAAGTATCTTCATTTAATACCCGTGATGGACACAACGAAGAGAGCCCATTGCGTAGCTTTGTGCTAAATAACAAACACATAAACAATTGTTCTATTTTAATTAGAGTTCGAATTACGTTCGCATTCAAAAGTGATGTAGAGTAATAACGTGTAGATTCCATCACGATTTTGCCCCTTTTGGAACTTCATCAAAAACCTATTGGCTCTTTTCACTCAATTATGTATCCGATTTATTATAAATAATAAAAATGATAGCAGGTAATTGTTTTATTGACTTGAATACATGAGTGTGGGGAACTTTGTACACAATTAACTTTGAAGAATAATTAATTTGTTTTACTTAATGATAAAACTTTATTTACATCATTAAGTCGGAATTGTTGTTTATTCTTAGTAAATCTGATAAATAAATTCTTTAACATTTGTTGAATTATCTTTCCACTAATTACTTCGTGTCTTCTCTGCATCCGTAGGCTACCCCAACATTGGTCTTGCCCATAATTGTCACAGAAGACTTTGACAAGATGGACACTCCTGAAGAATCATCATCTAGTAAAACCAAAAGCCACGACCGCACTCGATCTCTTTCTGGAGGAACATCCAAGATGGCCACCCTCCGAGAGGCTCTAACCCACAATCGAATGAGGCGACCCTCTGGTGACGATGTTCTGTCAGCAATTACTCCGGCACGGAAAGCCGCCATATTTGAAACGTTCCGTCCTCGCTCTAAATCAGATAGCAAACGTCAAAGACCAACGATTATATCAACAATAAAAAACTCTGTGCAACAAACATTTTCTTCCTCCTCCTCAACAGGGAGCAGTAGTTCAACAAAATCGCCAACACAGACTGCATCCCAATTACAATCTTCATGTGGTCCTGCTAACACGGCAAATCAGTTAGATCCTTTCTCACAAGGGGATTTTCGACGACCAAGATCTGGATCCGATAGTAAGGGTGGACCCGTGTCCAAAGTAATGGAAATGTTTCGGCACAGATCCCACTCCATTTCCACTGACATCACTTCTAAGGTCAGTCTTGAATTTTAGTATCATCATGCTGGTTGTTACATTAAATGTTATGTTTCTGAGGTAATGTCATTCAGTTTTACTCAATCAGAATAACTCGTTATCAGTAACTAAAATTGTTATTCTTGTAATGCAGATATGCTTATAAAACTTGAAACTCTTTGTTTAGTCGTATAAATAATCGTATAAAACTGACATCACAAGCTAGTTTATTCTATTCTTCAAGAAGACTATTTTGGTCAAACAATTACCCTTTATTCCTTAGTATTTCATTCTTCGAAAACACCTCTGTTTGTCTTGTTGGTACTTAATTATATTTTATATTTCATTCTTCGAAAACACCTCTGTTTGTCTTGTTGGTACTTAATTATATTTTATATTTCATTCTTCGAAAACACCTCTGTTTGTCTTGTTGGTACTTAATTATATTTTATATTTCATTCTTCGAAAACACCTCTGTTTGTCTTGTTGGTACTTAATTATATTTTATATTTCATTCTTCGAAAACACCTCTGTTTGTCTTGTTGGTACTTAATTATATTTTATATTTCATTCTTCGAAAACACCTCTGTTTGTCTTGTTGGTACTTAATTATATTTTATATTTCATTCTTAGATTATTGTATTTGGATTTATCATCTACTTGTTTTAGATCTTTTTATACTGCAAAAGTTAAATATTTAGAAAGTTGTACATAGCTTGCGGTATCTGTTGTCTGAAGAAAAGTGGATTGTTTTCTTATTTAGTATTATTTACTATTGTATAGTAAAGGTTTCAGTACTGGCGGCATCTATTAGCGCAACATGAACTATTTAAGCGTATTTTTCTCAATCTGTCAAGAAATCTAAAAAAACATGAAAGTCAAAATAAAGAATAAACACTATAAAAGAGCCGGGAAAAAATCTTGCTAAAAACGTAAAAGAAATATACAATAATTTTCAAAGCTTATGTAATAAAGCATACCAAAGACATAAACTGTGACGTGAGGTCCTTTTATCGACGACCTTACCCAATTTGTATTTCAAATTTATCACAAATTTTTAGCTGACATTGTTACGGTTGTGTTGATTTAAGTTTTATGGAGAATATATACATAGAACGCGGGCTCATATATTTGAAGTAAAGTGACATAGGAATAAATTTGAAAACAATTAAATAAGATGTGAGCGTAAACTTAGTGTTATGATAAAACTTTGCTCAATGATCTCTATCTTTCAAAACTTCTAACTTCGCCCTGAGAAGAAACATTTTATTTGGATAATTAAATAGAGTTCGTACTCGACGTTGGTCATAATATGGGCAGCTGGTATCACTGCGGAAAACTGGCTATATTGATGTCATTAAGAAAATCGTTAGTTACTTGCAGTGACAAGAAATGTCGTCCCTTTGGTCTTCCGAAACAATAAGCATAGCTTTGTGCTTAACTATAAACAAACAAACACCCGACGGGTTATTTTATACTGATTTGTAGGCTTTAATTTTTTTTTATTCACATCGCCATCTGGTGTTGAAAATATAATACATAATTAAATTATTGCGATATTGGTAAATCCATTGCTCCTTTCTATATGAGGAAATTACCAACGATATCAGTTTGGTAAATTTGCATTTATTAAAGTGTAGACATTTTTTTTTCTAAGTTCTAGTTCACTTTTACCCAAAGTTTTTGTTTTCAGTAGCTCTTTTTGAAAATAAATAATTGTAACAGTTTCGCAAGAAATTACTGATTTTTGGCGAGCAAAGGAACAATTGAGCTTTGCAATTTTCTTTGCTATTTTAATATGTAAGTTATAAAGTATAAAAAGTGTGTTTGTCGTCGAAAGTTTCAAAATTCAACAAACGCTAGACTGAATGTTCTGTTCATTGAACGAATTAAGCATTAAAACTTAGACGCACAGGTTTAGAATGATATGTAGGGTACTAAAATTTTAACATAGTGTTAAAATATAGAGAATACGAGAGTACCAGGAGCTCCTTCTCAACCATTATGCAAGTTTTCCGTATAAAACGCTGCTTATAAATATATATATACATATATATTAGGGTGCATCGAATTTACTTAGTCGAAAATTTTATCTTGTAATTGCTAATCGGCAGGATGTGCAATAGTTGCCTTTTATTACAATAATTAATGTTATGCAGTATGAAACTCCTCCAATTAAATCGTATAGTGCCGCAAGCGAACCGAAGTTTGAACAAAAGTTATCATCTCTCCAATAAACGAAATAGGTAATCAACAACTTGTTTGGATTATTTTGCTAATACTGCACTTTCTACATCGAAATCCTAAAAAAATAATCAGATGAGGCCACAGTTTCCAACGGTAGTGAGAGAAGCTGACAGCCCTTACCTCAACTGTTTTGGAAGATACGGGCATTATTCAAGAAAATGGCAATGCTAAAAATTGTCGATAAAAATAAGATACGACGCAAACGAGAAAAATACCGAGAAAAATTTTGATGAATCAAATTGTATTAAATCTGTCTACTTTGATGCTAGAAAAGATATAACTAAATTGTCATTAAAAATGGGCAAAAGCACTATAAACGTATAGTCATGGAACAGCACATAACTTTGGTCAGTGAACCTGAATCAATTTTCATGGATCACATTTCTCCTTCTTCCGGAATATCAGAAGGTATAAAACGTTCTATCATTCAGTAGTTTGAAGATAAAATTTCATCTGATCATTTAGTCGCTGTAGGTTGTGACGGTACATACGTCTGTACTGGAAAAAAGCTGGAGTTATGCGGCTTCTTGAATTGCACTTAGGAAGACCTTTTCATTGGTTAATTTGTTTGTTACATGCGAGTGAGTTATCCGTGTCATCTAATTACACATCTTGACGGAGTAACTCTAGGACCGTCCGCTTTTTCTGGTCCTCTTGGAAAGAAACTGAAGATTTGTGAAACATTGCCTTCAGTAAACTTTGTTTCAGTCAAAATTACAGAGCCATTACCGATAATTGACCATTCTGAGGATCTTAGAACAGATCACAAATATTTGTATGACATGTGCAATGTAGTAGTGTCAGGTCATAGTTTAAGAGAACTTACTTTACGTAACCCTGGAACAATGAACTATTCTTGCTGGTTAACAACAGAAAACAGGATTTTACCTCTTTATGTCGCAACTGCTAACCCATCCAAGAAGCTTAGTTTGTTAGTGAGATTGAAGTGTATGCAACAGTTTGGTTTAATACCAAGAAATATTCCTCATGCAGCCATGGCTCACCGTACATTTTTCTACTTGTAAGAAAATCACGTTTTCTTACTGAATCAGAGAAACGTGGGGGATAGAGTAATCCGGAAAAACTCATATTATGTCCACCCGGAAAATTCGCTGCTTGGAGATGATTCTTAGGCTGTCAGACAACTTGCTCTTCATAGAATATTAGCTGCTTGATCTAACTCAAATTCTAGCACAATGAGACAGTTTGTGGTTCCAAATATTATTATGGAAGCTCAACATTACACTGATCTAATAATGTGGACTGAGAGTAGAGCCACCACTTACAAAAATTATAAGCAATGAACAGTTGGTGTCTTTTATTAATCAAGATGACACGCCAATTTTCAAGTTCAGCATGCCGTGTCTCACACAAACAGTTGAAAGGCATGTTAAAATAGAATCAGAAATTTTCAGTAGCTGTTTGTGGCTATCGCAGAAGAAACGGATTCATTAAATCAAAACTTCAATCTCGCAAAATCATGAACAAATTTAATACTAAAAAACTATACATAATCCAGTAATTATATTACCCAGTGGAAGGGTGGGCATGGGTAGAACTCGACATGCGACTACCTCCTCATGGTGAGTTCTGGGTAATTTATGATATAAAAAAGTTGTGGTACTTTGATTTCTCATATACTTTGATTATGTATATTTTAAGGAAACTACCCCCCTCGCGGCAATACAATATATTATTTTAGAAGCCTGAAACTTACCCATATAATTACTATTATTAAAAAGCGCCAATCGCATACCCTGGCGATAATGATATAAGAAATTTATATTTTTTTATACACCCTAATATATTAGAATCGTCTACAATTCAGTTGTGAAAACATCTTTATTGAATGTGTTGAAAGATTAATGCTTTTTTCGTGTAAATTTTGATATTTAGACTGAATTTCGAAAAAATATCCTTTGCAATATATATATGAAAGTAAGAAATACTGCGTCATTATGAATTGCAAAAACTAAACAAACAAAAATAGGGAATACCTTTAGGATATATATACACACGTTTCTACTTACTTGTTTATGGAGCGCCGATGAATATGATTATGTCAAAGGACATTATTAAAGTTGTCATAGTATTTTGAGTGTGGTCCCAGAGGCCATGTTTTAATTATCGATTATTTAAAAAACAACAAAAAAAAACGTATTATGGTTTTATTCAAGTTTATTGGTACTAAAATCCAGAGTAATACAGCAATAGATAACAGAACTTAGACTTAGTTATCTAAAATCCAGCTATTTTGTTGGTCAACAGTTTTCCAAGAGACCTATGGCCCGGCATGGCCAGGTGGTTAGGGCGCTCAACTCGCAATCTGCGGGTCGCGGGTTCGAATCCACGTCACACCAAACATGCTCGCCCTTTCAGCCGTGGGGGCGTTATAATGTGACGGTCAATCCCACTATTCGTTGGTAAAAGAGTAGCCCAAGAGTTGGCGGTGGGTGGTGATGGCCTTCCCTCTAGTCTTACACTGCTAAATTAGGGACGGCTAGCGCAGATAGCCCTCGTGTAGCTTTGCGCGAAATTCAAAACAAATAAACAAACAAACCAAGAGACCTGTGTATCTATATGCTTGTAGTAGAGACGAATTAACAATTGGTGTACTTACTAAGGATTTCCCGAGTTTGAAAATTGAAGTCCCCCCCCATAGGACAGCCATAATTTTACGGATTTACATCACTTAAATTTGGGGTTCAATTCCTGCAATGGACAGAGTACAGATATCTCATTGTGTAGCTTTCCTCTAAAACATCAACATGAAA